TATATATTAATATATTATATTATATAGTGTCATATATAATTTAAAAGAGCAACCAGGGGGTGTAGCTCAGTGGTAGAGCGCATGCTTTGCTTGCATGAGGCCCCGGGTTCGATCCCCGGTACCTCCACTCCAACTTTGGGCTGGAGAGATGGCTCAGAGGTTAAGAGCATTGCCTGCTCTTCCAAAGGTCCTGAGTTCAATTCCCAGCAACCACATGGTGGCTCACAACCATCTGTAATGAGATCTTGTGCCCTCTTCTGGCCTGCAGGCATACACACAGACAGAATATCGTATACATAATAAATAAATATTTTTAAAAAAAAAGAGCAACCAGGAATGAGGCATGGTGGTGCATGCCTTTAATCCCAGCAATCAAAAGGCAGAGGCAGGAGGATCTCTGCGGGTTTGAAGGCATCCTGGTCTACATAAGTTCCAGGACAGCCAAAGCTACATAGAGAGATTTTGTCTCAAAAAAAGAAAGCATCCGGGGAAGCACGCGTTTTGTAAAGTGTCCATCATTTATTATTTATTAGCACCACACTCGGGGGTGGAGACAACTGAGGCTGGATTTCTGGGGCTTTCAGAGGAGCAGTGAAAAGAAGCACTGGTACTGTGTGCACCTGAGTCCTCGTGTGTGGACAGAAAGACATGTTGCTGCACAGTGATGACATCACAGCCTAAGTTTGCTAGGCAGCCCTCCTGTATGCCACCCCATGGCCATTCCCCAGATGGGCCGGATGGCCCATCCCCAAGCCCCATCACCCTGACAAAATAGATAGCTAATGAATCGGAAAAGAAGAAAACCAGGCAAGGCAAATTCCTTGAGCTTTTCCCAAAAGAGTCTTGAAAATAGTTTCCTGAAAGACATTCTATTGACACTGCCACAGTGAAAATGTCTCATTTGACTGTAAGCCAAATGGTCTTTCTCAGTGGGTCACAGTAAGCACAGCAGGTGGTGTGTAGAAGGACGTAAACAAGAAACAAGATTATTTATGAGCAATTAATTTTTACGAAATCAAAACTGTCACTTTTGTCCTATGTTCTCCCTTTTAGGAAATCTCCACCTAGAAAGAACTTTGCATTAAAGCTTTAATTATTTTAGTTACTTACTTTATTTTTTTATGTGTATGAGTGGTATGTACCACATATATGCTGGTGCCCAGTAGGTCCACCATGTGTGTGCTGGGCACTGTACCCAGGTACTCTGAAGAGCAGCGAGTACTCTTAACCATTGAGCTATCTCTCTAGCTTTTTTGGTTTTTTTGTTATTATTGTTTATAATATGTTGTATGTGTATGTGTGTATGTCACATATGTGTTGGTGACTAGAGAGAGCAGAAGTGGGTATTATATTCCTGGAGCTGGAGTTTAAGGTAATTGTGAGCTGCCTGAGATGGATACTTGGGACCAAACACCACTCCTCTGAAAGAATATAAAGTGCTCTTAACCACTGAGCTACCTTTCCAACCCCATTAATTCATTCTTTAAAAAATATGTGCTTGTCTCTGTATGTTGATCTTGGTGGCAGGAGAGGACACACTCTTCTACCTACAGTTCAACAATGTGTTCCTTGTTCTACAGTGTTCTCTTTCTTCTTGTGTTTGAGAAAAGCTTTACTATGGTAGCTACTTGCCTGGGTGCTAGAAAAACAAAGTTATTTCTCAAAAGTAGAAACGTGATTCTGTTCTTTCCTATCCTAACCTACCCTGTGTGGAAATTTGCTCGGCTTTTAGACTCCATTTCTTCATTAACAAAAGAAATGTCTACCCTGAAAGGTCCTTATAGGGTTGATGTCAGACACGCAGCCTAAAATCTGTAGCATCGTACATAGAGAGGTACACACTCAGTAGTGTTTATGTGTTGGGTTTGGAAGTGCAGTCCCCTCTTTGAACTACATTTCTCCAAATATTGAGGCACCCACAAAATAAGATCAACACCCAAGAAAGGACAAAGGAAGCAGTGGTTCTTGCTGGCCTCAGAAGAGCTGAAACTGTCGGTCTTTATTTTATGTATGTTTCATTTTAGTAAAAATACAGTCTCCCAAAGAAGGAGGGAGATGTGGATTCTGTGGGAGTCTGTGTCTCCGCTGAGCTCTGCCCCTCCTCTCTGCTCTACTTTGTGTTATAAATGGGAAGGTTTCAAGTGTTTAAAAAAATTCTGTAGGGGAAAAAGGTCTTGCTCCATACTGCTTTTCCTCATCAGTTCTAACCCTTAAGGACAGGGATTGCTTGAAGGGCTATAAAAAGATCTAGGTTTACCAATTACCAGTAAGTAACTGGCTGTTTGGGGCAAATGATTCCATTTCTATGCTCTCAGTTCCCTCTCCTGTGATTTGTGTAGCTTCGAAGGATAATGTCAAAGGTTCCTGTTGAAGTATAATATGAAAGGTTGATTTTTGTTTGTTTGTTTGTTTTTGTTTAGTTTGTTTTGATTTTCTTGAGACCTGATCTCACAAAGTCCACGCTGGCTTCAAAGTTACTACATAGCCAAAGTATGACCTTGAACTTCTGATCTTCCTTCCTTGTAAGTGCTGGCATTATAAGAATATACCACCATGCATAACTGCCTTTTAGTTTTAATTCTAGAGTTCCAGGAAACTTAAAAGCATCAATTGTTTGAGGAGCTAAAACTTTCTCCTCATTTCACCCCAGTAACCACGTTTGTCCGGGCCCACACAGCACGTGCACAGGGGGACACACACTGAATGTCTGAAGACTGAGTAAATAATTTAATTGTTGATTAAATGAAGATGGGGCTGGATGTGGCAGTACGCACCTTTAGCCCCAGCACTTAGGAGGTAGATGCAGGTGGATTTCTGTGAGTTCAAAGTCAGTCTGTTCCACATACTGAGTTCCAGACCTGCCAAGGCTATATAGTGAGACCCTGTCTCAAAACACCAAAACCACAACGTGATGCTAGGTTGATCAGGCCCTCTTGGCTCCGGGGACGGCTCCAGTGGACTGTGATGATATGTGGCTGAGCAGGAGAGTTTAAAAATAGCTTCTGCTCTACCAGAGGAGTTGGGTCCGATTTCCAGTACCCATATGACTGTTCACAGCTGACTGGCTGTAACTCCAGTTCCAGGGGATCCAATGCCCTCTTCTGTCTTCTGTGGGCATCGGGTGTACATGTGACAGACAGACAGACAGACATGCAGGCAGAACACCCATATACATAAAATTAAAATGTAAAAAAAATCCATTCACACATATAAAATAAAAATAAGTCTTTAAAAGATATGACAGTTCTTACTGATTGCAGTATTGCATGCCAGTAGCCTCAGCACTAGGGAGGCAGAGCATGTGTGGGTCAGGAGTTCAAGTCCATCAATACATGGAGTACTTGAGCTACGTGAATCCCTGTCTCAAGCCAGTCTTCCACACCCAACAAAGATCTGATAGCTCTTTGCCAGCTGATTTCTGTGGGATAATGGTGAACGCATCACCAATAGCATTCTAGCTGATTTGGACCAGGAGTTTTAGGTGTTATAGCCTCTCTGATCATTTGTACCTTTCAGCCATATTTCAATCCATCTCTGTTCTGCCTAACTTCCAGTTTGGGGTAAACCATGGTCCACAGCACTTAACTTACAATAACTTTGTGTGTGTGTGTGTGTGTGTGTGTGTGTGTGTGTGTGTGTGTGCTTAGGTTGTTTTAGTTTTTGAGACAATGTCTGGTATAGCCCAGGCTGACCTGTACTATGAGCCCTGATTTCCTTAGCTGCAAAGTGGAATGGATACTTTGTGAAATGTTGCTATAGAGCCAGGTCATACCCAGCAAGAGATCTTCACAGTGTGTGACGTAGTATACAATCACAGCATCCCCACCTAGCATCAAAGATGGCTCAGAAGGAAATCTACTAGAGAAGAAAGTAACTCTTCAACCTGGAAAACAGAACCAAAACAAGCAAAAAAGCAGTTTTGCCAACAAAAAGTCATAAAGGCCTCCCCTCCCCTTTTCTTAGGAAGACCTTTGCACACACATTTCCCTTTGCTCGGTAGACCTCCTCCATCAGATTATTTGTTTAAAACTCTGGTCAAGGGCTGGAGAGATAGCTCAACTGTTAAAATGCTTGCAAGCGTGAGGATCTAAGTTTGGTGCCCAGAATCAAGTAAAAAAAAAAAAATCAGGCTGGAGAGGTGATAATGGAGGATTCCTGGGAGTTGATGGATAGCCAGAATAACCTAACTGGGTGAACCCTAAGTCCCAGTGACTCTATCTCGAAAATCAAAGTGGAAGGGTAAGACAGTATTCTTGAGAAACATATCTGAGGTTGACCTCTGGACACCAGACACATTCAGGAACACTAGGCAGGTAATGGCTGAGAAGGACTGACAGACAAGTCAAGTTCCTTCAGATTCTAGATCGTCCAGTCTTGTGCCCCTAATAGAGTCTTGAAATAATATACTACTCATTTGTGTGGTTATTTTCCTTAGATTTGTCCTTTCCCCAAGAGTCATTTTCTCTGAGAACAAGACAATGGTGATTTGGTGGGCTTTCAATAAATATGGATTGAATGAACGAAAAGAAATTACCCAAGACTTGAGTAAGAATTTTAGGATACAAAAGAAAACACACACACACAGACACAGACACAGACACAGACACACACACACACACACACACACACACACACACACACCGTGGGGGTAGTGTGGGGTTGCCTCTCTAACTAGCTAGCCAAACCATTCCCCAGTTATTGGATTCCAAAAAAGGGGTGGGTTAAGGACGCAAGGTGGTCGATCGGATGAACAAATGGTCAAACCCGGGTGGAGACCCAGGCCTTAGCGAATGGGTAGGAGGCAGGTTGACCTCTCCACGGGTCCCCAGGGTCCTGCGTAGCACCACACGCGAGGAACCGAGGAATCGAGGAACCTCAGCACCCTGCCTCAGCCCCGCCCCAGGAGGTTTTGTCCCCGCCCGCTGGACCCGCCTCCCGGTCGGTCGGTACTAGTACCACAGACCTTGTGGAAGGTGAGATCCTCAGGTGACACCAAGAAGATGGAGTTCGCACCACTGAACACCCCACTGGTGCGGCGCTTGCAGGTGGTTGCCGTGCTTCAGTGGGTCATGTCCTTCATCTTGATAGGTAAGAACTCCGCCGAACCACACTCACCTGCCATTCTCACCCTACTGGTTCTCCGGTCAGCCAAACCAGAGGGCTTTCCCCTACCATGCTTTGGATTCTCTCTCTCTTGTGACAAGTAGCTTTGCCAACTTTATTGCCCTTCTGCTATTTTCTTTTTATTTCCTTCCTTCCTTCCTTTCATTCTTTCTTCTTTCATTTTTGGTTTTTCAAGACGAGATTTCTCTGTGTAGCCCTGGCTGTCCTAGAACTCTCTGTAGACCAGACTGGCCTCAAACTCAGAAGTACTCTGCCTGCCTCTGCCTCCCAAGTACTAGGATTAAAGGCATGCACCACTACGCCTGACTTTTGCTATTTTATTTCTAAAGTGAGGTGTGTCTTACCTACAACGGAAGGCACAGATTTTAAATATACAGCTGCATAAATTTGGGTAACTATACCCTCCCACATGTAATCATGAACCATCTAGAAAATGGGTGCTAGAGAAAGCTGCAGTTTAGCTCTGCAGGAGCTGGTAATTTGTTTCTGGATCCCTTGACTTATAAATGGGTAATGCCTCTAGGTGTTTAAAACCTGAAGCCTTTGTCGCCTCAATCTTAGGACAAAGAGTTACGTGCTTAGTGTTAAGTTTTCCTATTGTTCCTGGGTGCAGAATCATGCTTTTGTGCCTAGACCCAACAAGTACATGGTTGGGTTGGTTTTGTGAGCCTTCTTTTTGGAAATAATCCACTCAGGTGCATTCCAGAGTATTCTCAGGCTAAGGCGGGACAGGAACCAGATCTCTGTGGAGAGCTGTTGGAGGAAGCCTGTCCTTCGTGTGTCATGCTCTTGGAAGAAAAGAGAAAAGGGGGAATAACTAAGATCTTCTGTGGCTAAACTTCCCTAAAAGCAGAAATTGTCCATATGGGCCAAGACAATGAACTGCACGCTGGTTGAGCTAAGTTGTAATAACAACATTCAGCACATTACAGTTTTGCATGTTGGAAGTAGTTTCTTTCATTCCATGCATGCACACACCGATCTCCACCGTGACTACATATGAGGACCGCTAAAAGGATCTTCAACACTGGGGTGCCCAGGCTCCAGCCCTAGTATTTCCAGCTCATTTGTCTTGGAATGCAGCCTTCACTGAGACTTATAAAAACAAAAGCAGGAACAAAACTCTCCAAGTGCACAGCAAGGGCTAATGAATAGACAATTCAAGGCATTAACTAGCTCCTTAGGTCCTCACAGCCCAAACCCTGGAGGCTTGGCTAGCAGCACTGCATTCTGTTCTGCTCTGGACACCGTAGCGACAGTGTTCCCAGCATCCAGTACTGCCACTGAGCCCCCAAGCCCCTTCCACTATTAGCCACGCCATCCTCACAGCTACAGTGAGGCCAGGACTCCGTGCTGTCTGTATAGAAGAGGAAACTGAGGCAAAATAAATTACTCCAGGTCAGGCAGCTAGTGAGGGGAAAAAGCTGAATGCAAGCAAGATTGTTCTGCCTAAAGTCCCTGGTCCAGCCACTGGATGCCCACTCTGATGGTCTTGCTTTCTAACCCATCCATCACACAGCAAAGCTCAGAGAGTCCACTGTCCTTTTTCTCCATGGCAATTGTCACTGATGGCATCTGTAAATGTCTGCTGCTGGTTGGGAGAGGTCTATGTGGCCACCCTAGTGTGCAGGCTCAGAGAAGGAGCACCCAGCAGCTGCCCGACCAGGGCGGAATACCCAAGAGGACTTGTCACAGGATTGTTTCCACCCGTCACCCTCCACATGTCTCATGCCATCTCCTTAGCAATCCAGTAAGGGTAGGGTGGGATTGTCCCCTTTCCTCATGTTACACCGGGGAAACTATTGCACAGGGTCATGTGGCTCAGTTGTTGGCGGGAGGGCACCTAAACGACCTGCAGGTAGATTGCAGTTTTTTGTTGCAGAAGGCAGAGAGAAAGAAGTAGAGTCTCACAAACCGACTACCTTGGTGTCTTTCTTTTTATTTGCCTGGTTTTGCTTCTTTTCTTCTTCTTCTTCTTCTTCTTCTTCTTCTTCTTCTTCTTCTTCTTCTTCTTCTTCTTCTTCTTCTTCTCCTTCTCCTTCTCCTTCTCCTTCTCCTTCTCCTTCTCCTTCTCCTTCTCCTTCTCCTTCTCCTTCTCCT